TTTGTATATTTTCCTGGTTTTAATTCTGTTTTCCTTGGTTTTCTGAATCTAGCCTGGTGGCCGTGACCGTTCTCCACCTCTGACTGGAATTCTTTTTTGTGTATTTTTCTGGTTTTTTTTGTATATTTTCCTGGTTTTAGTTATGCTTTCCTTGGTTTTCGGAATCTAGCCTGGTGGCCGTGACCGTTCCCCACCTCTGACTGGAATTCTTCCCTGCGTATTTTTTTCTGGATTTTTGTGGATTTTTAGGTTTCAAAGCTTCCCAAACTTCTTCGCTCGTCTCGCGGCAGCTGCTGGACTGTCAGAAGCTCCTGCCACAATGCTGCAGTGTCTCTCACACTTCTTTTTTGCCCCGCGCGCTTATAGCATCCGCGAAGCTTCTGGATTGAAACTCTAAGACTCTGCGGTTGCGGTCTGGGTGGAGAGACGCCTGCTTGGTTTTTCGTAGGGAAAACACTGCTTTCCTACGGCTTCCGTGTCGTTTCCTTAGGTTTTCAGCAGGAAAACATACGTTACCTTGGTTGTTCCTCGGGAAAATCGGCTTTTCCGTGCATTGTCGCATTTTGTACGGATTTCGTGGTGTTGTTGTTGTTACTGCTGGTGTTGATGATGTTGTTGATGTTGTTGTCGTTGTAGTTGTAGCTGTAGTAGTCGTGGTAGTGGTAGTTGCAGTAGTTGTAGTAGTCGTAGTAGCAGCAGTAATAGGAATAGGAATAGGAATAGGAATAGGAATAGGAATAGGAATAGGAATAGGAATAGGAATAGGAATATGGATAGTAATAGTAATAGTAATAGTAATAGTAATAGCAATAGTAATAGTAATAGTAATAGTAATAGTAATAGTAATAGTAATAGTAATAGTAATAGTCATAGTCATAGTCATAGTCATAGTCATAGTAATAGTAGTAGTAATAGTAATAGTAATAGTAATAGTAATAGTAATAGTAATAGTAATAGTAATAGTAATAGTAATAGTAATAGTAATAGTAATAGTAATAGCTATAGCAATAGTAATAGTAATAGTAATAGTAATAGTAATAGTAATAGTAATAGTAGTAGTAATAGTAATAGTAATAGTAATAGTAATAATAGTAGTAGTAGTAGTTGTTGTTGTTGTTGTTGATGTTGTTGTTGTTGTGCTTGTTGGTGGTGGTGTTGGTGCTGGTGCTTGTGTTGGTGCTGTTGTTGCATTTTGCTGCTGGTGGTGTCGTTGTTGTTGCTGTTCTTCCTGTTGTTCTCGTTGTGGTTGCATGCCTTTTGGTGTTATTTGTTACTGGTGTTGCTACTGCTCTTGGTGTTCATGTTGTTGTTGCTGCTGGGTGGAGTCTTTTTCTTTAAGGTTTGGCGGCCAGGTTATGTTTAAAAGGTTTGGCGGGATATGGGTTCGTTTGTGTGTCAAGCTATTGGGGGGATTCTAGTTTTCAGGGTTTGTTTGTGCGTCAAGCTGTCGCGGGAGTGTAGTTTGTTCAGGGTTTGCTTGTGCGTCAAGCTACTGGGAGATTCCAGTGTTCGAGCTTGTTTTCCTGCGTCAAGCTATTGGGGAATTCCGGCTCGCGGCCTCCCCCATTAGCAAGCATGATGCTCGCATGGTTGGTCAAAAAACGCGTATGTGCTGTCAAGCAAGCATGCCACTCTCGCACGCCCGGCGCATGCTTCCCAATTGCAATCACACTTTTCACAAGGTGAAGGGTGCTGCTTCTAAGTAAAAGATTCATCCTAGGATATCCTAGGCATCGACTGCTATGCTGTCATGCAATCACGGCTTATAGCAGCCGGGGGGGTTGGGGGGGGGCAACCCCTTCCAGTTGCAATCACGATCCTCGTATGGCTGGTTTACCGCAAATCGCATGCGGCCGGGGGGGTTTAAGGGCGGCAATCAAGATGCTCGCATGGTTGGTTTTAAACAAGAATATCTGCTGTCAAGCAAAGCTGCGGTCACGCGAGCTTGCACATGGTTTAAAGCAGTGGGGGGGTTGGGGGGGCGCAGCCCCCCCGATTTGCAAGGATGATGCTCGCGTGGTTGGTAAAAACATGCGTATGTGCTGTCACGACTCCTATGCTGTCATGCAACCTGGCACACGGCTTACACAGCGGGGGGGTTGGGGGGGGCGCAGCCCCCCCCATTTGCAATCACGATGCTCGCATGTCTGGTTTACAACAAAAACTATGCGGCGGGGCGGTTTAAGGGGGGCAGTTCATGAGGATGCTCGCATGGTGGGGTTTTCAACAAAACGCATATATGCTGTCAAGCAAGCTCGGCACTCTCGCACGCCCGGGGCAGGCTTTCCATTTGGAAAGAGACTCTTTGCATGGTGAATGGCATTGTTTCAAGAAGACTTACATTTTATGCAGGGTGGGTTTCCAGAACGACGTCTATGCTGTCAAGCAAGCTTGCACACAGCTCAAAACAGCGGGGTCTCTGGTCTTTGCTTCTTGCTGTCTAATTATCCTGCTTTCGTTCTTGGGTTGTTTCTTTGCTCCGTTCTTTCTAACACTCCTTCTGGTCGTCCTTGCTGGCTTTCTGTCTTTCGATATTCATTTCTTCTGTTCTGTCTCTCTGTCTTTGCTGCGTTCTTATTTCCTTGCTTCTGTCTGTCCTTCTGTCCTTCCTTCCTTTCTTTCTTTCTCCCCATTCTGGTGTGTTGCTTTCTTGCCTTCTTCCTTTGTTCCCGTCTTCGTTCTTTCTTTCTGTCGTCCTTCTTTCCTTCCTTCCTGTCTTTCTGTCCTTCGTCCTTTCTTTCTTTCTCCTCTTCCTGGTGTCTTCCTTTCTTGCTTTCTTTGTTTGTTTCTTAGCTCCTTTCTTTCTTTCTGGCTTCCGTTTCTCTCCTTCTTTCTTTCGCTTGCGTTCAACCGAAAACCAGAAAAATATACATAAAAAAACCAGAAAAATTGACAAAAAAAATACGGTACCCCTCCGCTCCGCTCCCTCGTTCGTTTCGCTCCGCTTCGTTTGCTCCGCTCGCTCAGTCCGTTCCGCTTCGCTCCGCTCGCTCCGCTCGGGTCCACAATCGTCGAGCTCCGATTGCTCTCTCTTGTATAGCGGGGTCTACGGCCCACAATCGATCAGCCAGAAGGAAGCTGATTCAAAATCGAAAGGGTGTTGGGCCTACAGCCTCGGGTCAAAAACGAAAGATCGACAGGGCTCAGGGCCGTAGGACGCAACGATCTTCGGCCCTTTAGGCCCAAAATTTTCCTCGCAATCGGAGCTCGACGATTGTGGACTTTCTCGCTACCCTCACTCCGCTGACTTCGCTTTCGCGCCGCTCTCTCCGCGCACTCCGCTTCGCTCCACTCACTCGTCCGCTCCGCTCCGCTCCGCTCCCTCGTTCGTTTCGCTCCGCTTCGTTTGCTCCGCTCGCTCTGCTTCAGCTCCGTCCGCTGCACTCCCCTCGCTCTCTCCGCGCACTCCGCTTCGCTCCACTCACTCGTTCGCTCCGCTCCGCTCCGCTCCCTCGTTCGTTTCGCTCCGCTTCGTTTGCTCCGCTCGCTCAGTCCGTTCCGCTTCGCTCGCTCGGTCCGCTCGGGTCCACAATCGTCGAGCTCCGATTGGCTCGTCCCAATTTTGGGCCTAAAGGGCCGAAGATCGTTGCGTCCTACGGCCCTGAGCCCTGTCGATCTTTCGTTTTTGACCCGAGGCTGTAGGCCCAACACCCTTTCGATTTTGAATCAGCTCCCTTCTGGATGATCGATTGTGGGCCGTAGACCCCGCTATACAAGAGAGAGGCCGCAGCTTTGTGGCAGTTTCAGGGCTGTGCGGGTTATCGCCGTGGTTGGGGGGGGTGATGCACCTGTGATGCACCTGTGGCGGTGCATCATGGGTCGGGGGGGGTGATGCACCTATGGCGGTGCATCACGGGGGGGTGATGCACCCGTGGCGGTGCATCACGGGTCGTCGCAAACTCGTCGTCGCCACGTCGTCGTCTGAACAACGCACACGGAAAAATGTTTTGATCCCAGGCAGGTCGGGGAGGGCCGGGGGGGGTGATGCACCCCCGTGGCGGTGCATCACGGGTCGTCGCAAACTCGTCGTCGGCACGTCGTCCTCCAGAACACGACGAACTGAAATTGCTTAGATCCCAGGCAGGTCCGGGAGGGCCGGGGGGGTGATGCACCCCCGTGGCGGTGCATCACGGGTCGTCGCTTCCTCGTCGTCGGCAGGTCGTCCTCCAGAACACGACGAACTGAAATTGTTTTGATCCCAGGCAGGTCGGGGGGGTGATGCACCCCCGTGGCGGTGCATCACGGGTCGTCGCTTCCTCGTCGTCGGCAGGTCGTCCTCCAGAACACGACGAACTGAAATTGCTTAGATCCCAGGCAGGTCGGGGGGGTGATGCACCCCCGTGGCGGTGCATCACGGGTCGTCGCAAACTCGTCGTCGGCACGTCGTCCTCCAGAACACGACGAACTGAAATTGCTTAGATCCCAGGCAGGTCCGGGAGGGCCGGGGGGGTGATGCACCCCCGTGGCGGTGCATCACGGGTCGTCGCAAACTCGTCGTCGGCACGTCGTCCTACAGAACACGACGAACTGAAATTGCTTAGATCCCAGGCAGGTCGGGGAGGGCCCGGGGGGGGGGGGGTGATGCACCTGTGATGCAGCAGGCGTGTTCGTGCGCCGTCGTCGCGTCTATCCTACTCTACCCTAGTGGGGCACGCTGAGCTGGGGCCTAGAGTCGATGATCCACCCTTGTGGGGAGAGGCTCTAGGTTGTGGCACGGCGGTCCCAGCGGAGACGAGGGGGTTGCCCGACTGTTTAGGGCTAACCACCGGCGGTTGTCAGGTTCGCTGGGACCCCTGAGGACTCTCCGCGCCGGTCCGTGAGGCACCGGGGGAGCTCTGAAGCCTCACCACCCCCGCCAGACCTGTGTGCCTGGGCGGGATACCCTCTCAGTCCCCCTCCGAGGGGGGCTGTCGGGGAACGGAATGCTGGCCTTTTTTCTGCAGCCTCGTTCGTCCGCCGACGCCGAGACCGCCGACTCCGCGCCCTAGAAAACTCACACCATGTCCAGTTGGGCACAGCAGCGAGAAGCCATCCGCCGAGCGAGAGCGAGGACGAACGCCCAGGGCTCGCAGCGGCTCCCCCTCGCGAACCGCGAGGTCCCACTCCCAACGGCGAGCTCACCAGGGCGGGCCAATTCTACTACGGCCTCGTGGGAGGCCGACGAGGAGCAGCCCCTCATCCGCGAGGGGCCCACGGACTACATCCTCCTCCGCTCCGGGCTGAAGAAGCCCGCGTTCCCTGCAGCCCGAACCAAGCTGGGCAAGGCCTTCTTCCGCGAGAAGTACACGGACTGGCTCGCCCACGTGGTCCCACATCTTCGACGCCTGCGCCATTCCTGCAAGCTTCTGGGGTCCTCAGCCGAAGTCTTGGACATCATCGCGAAGTTCTTGCAGGTCCTGACCTCCAGCAACGGAAACGTCCCGCCAACTGGCACATCGTGCGACGGTGCGACCTGCAACACCAAGGTGAATGCAGTGTGGTTGGGACTGCTGCCGGAGGATGCTCGACAGCAGCTTCCCTTCTTCAAAGACCTCCGCCTTACGTATCCCAAGTGGAAGCTGTGGCCCTATGCCTTTGCACACTTTGGCGACTTCCTGATGACACCGTCCAACGGTTACTTCCATGTGACGAAGAGGTACAACCTCCAGCACTGCAGCGGGATCAGGAAGGTCAGGTATCCAGGTTGTGCAGTGGTAGCCCTTTTGATTATGTTTCTTTTGGAGCCGGAACACAAGATAACAACACACCCTAACATGCTTACCTTTCCCCATCGTTGGGCCAACGAACAGCCCAGATATGGCGATCTGTGGGTAGATGTGGCATGCGAGTTGGACAAAGGCATCTCTCACAAAACCTTCACTTGTGTCAACAAGCAGAGCGATGCAGATGCCGCGATGCGGTCCTCGCCGCCCTTTGTTCCTCGATCCTGGAGTGCAGCCGGCCTTCATGTCCACTGCCTCATCAGTGCTTTGCTGTGCAGCTGCACCGGCGGCAGTCCAGGCTACAGCAAGAGCCAGATGGCTTGCAATGGATTCAGTGTTTACTTCTTGATGCTTCTGCATCTGCATCACAACCTGGCCCGAGGGCGGGCGCCCAACGAAGGCATTTCGCACACAACCCTCCGCAACGTATGCAGTGCTGCGGCTCACGCCGTGAACTGCTGCTTAGGCAGCCACGAACCGCGATACACACAAGAAATTGGGATAGAAGTCATGTTTTCTGAGGTGAAGAGCCCCTTCCGGGGCAACCCAACACTGAAGGACATGCTGTATGGGACGGCTCGATTGGCGGCCCTCAAGGCCAAGGCCCTGCAGAAGATAGACCCCGACACTTTGGACAAACCGTGCATTGTGCAGGACCGGGAGGGCCTCGCTGTGGACAACCTGGCAAGCTTTGTCAGGTGGCGCTCCGAGACTGCCTTCAGTTCTGGAGTTTCATCTGTGTCGATACCACGGTCGATGAGCTTTATGATGGGCTGCGGAAGTTCTGGGGGCAGGAGGGCCACTCTTTCTTTCGATCCCTGGCCGAGGTGGAGGACCCAGGAGATCTGCTGCCGGACATGGTGGAAGTCTCTCTCCAAGATGATCAGTGCAAGGATGCAGCCACCACGCATACCGAAAAGCTCCAGTCAATGAGAGATCGAGCCGCCGTGATGGAGCAAGTGGAGGCTCTCTGCAGCCAGGACGAGCCCCCAGCCGAGCTTGCAGAGGCAAGGCCCGCTGATGATCAGCCGGCACCGGTGGATGAGGCTTCTATCCTGCCGCCCGAAGGGCATGAGTCAGGGGTCCCCATGACCTTGCATGACGTGCTGGTCATCGCACTGCACCAGGGCGGCCCTGAGTTCGACATTGGTGAATCCACTGCTCTAGGGAAGGGTGCATGCCTCCATCGCATGCAGCGGCTCATGAGCCCGATCAGGGCTTTCTCTCGACAGGCCAGGCTCGAGGAAAACATCCTCAGCAAAGGTCTTTTGGAGGACCGAAAGGCAAAGGCCAATGATTGGAATCAGCGAGAGCACGACCTGGTAGTTGCCAGGAGGATGGCCAATCTGTCGCATCAGCGAGCAGCCCGAAGCACAGCTTGGGCCAATGCATCTGCATCCTTCGTGCAGGAGGTCAGAAAAAGCATCCGGAGACTGCCGGCGGCCTGCAGTGCATCGAGACTTACCGTCCTTTGACAAAGGAGTCCCCGCAGATTCTTTTGGTCACCCACAGTGGCTCCCGGCATTGGCATGCACTTTGTCCGTCTTCCGAGGGTCACTGCAGCGAAAGCCGGCAGGAACTCAGGTCAGGACAGCGAATCAGGCCGCATGCCCGCTGCCAGCGGATGCCACGAAGACGCTGAGTTTCAGACATCATGCTTGTCTAGAACACTGATGATGGAACCTGCAAACAACGTGCAAGGCGAGGTGACTTGCAAGACATGGTCCAGCGGCTTGCGGTTGCATGCAAAGCTCAGCGAGTCCAGCGAACATGTCTTGAAGTGCATCGCCAAAAGAGACCTTGCCGTATCTGCCCGCAGACATCCCGGCCCATCCGGTGCTCGTGCTCGTTCGGCTGGGGTTCGACCAACCATGCGAGTTCAGCGCCAGCCAAAACAAAGAGTCGGAGTGAGAGCTGCAGCATCAGCGAACTTCCTAGCCTTGTATGCCCAGCCATCACAAGCCTAAACCAGAAAACAAAAGCGTAACTTCCATATGTCTTTTGCCCCACTCCTCACAGCCTAAACCCCCAAATCGATTGGAATTTCCATATGTCCTTCTGCAAATCCATAATGTAGCACCTCTTCCAAGCCATCCTGGTCTTTATAATGCCTGGTGTATGCTCCAGTGACAGTCCATAACCCTCCTCCCCTCACTCATGGATGTCGGGAAATGGGCTCGGACCCATTTCCGAACCCCTCCCACCCCCCCCTTCCCCCCCGCAAAAGAGGGGATAGAAGCTCGTTGTATCTCTTGTGGAGCAGCGGATTTAAACAAAAAGAAGGGTATTGCTTCCAGAAGCTCCTCAGCATCTGGGGCTCGTTCCGCCTTTCGATAGACATCGAACGGGAAGAAAGAGATGGGATCACTTGCTCCAACATGCACCTGCTTTCTTTTTCTATCCGAAATGAAGGATGCTAAAGGTCACCGGTTCGCCCAGCAAGTCTACAGGAAGCTGATGCTGCATCTTCCTACACGTGGCCACTCGAATTCGTTGTTTGATCATGTTTAAGTGTCTCACATCGCGGCGGCAACACCGCCTGTGATGACACTGTGATGCAGTGTCAAGGCCGTCTGAGTCAACGAAGCCGAGACTTTTGGCCTCGTACGCACCTCACAGAGCCTTCAGGAATCTGTTCAATTCCCCGACCTGTCTCATGAAGGCCCTGTCCACGAAATCGCTTGCCATCGTACCCTGGGCAGCCTCTACTGCAGATGCCGCCCGGGCCTTGGGCGCCTGGCTCGTGCAACGTTTTTTTTACTATACGCTCATGGTGTTCGCCATCGCGAGCTGTACGAAGCGGTTCAGCCGAAGGAGCTGCCGCTCGGGTCGCCCGGTCTCAGGCTTGGCGGCGGGCTTCGTGGCCTGCGGGGGCATAGCAGCGGTATGTTCGGGCTCGGTAGATGGATCAACAGCAGAAGCCGGAGGAACTCCTTCAGCAGGCTCTGGGGCGGGCTCGGCAGGTGCCATGTCCCCGCCTGCCTCTGTAGATTGTGCGGGCAATGTTAATGACATTAGGTAAATGCTCGATCTTGGAAAACAAGGGCTGACACTTCACTGTTCTGCTCTGTATGGACAAGGCAGCTGTCCGTTGCAACTATCCAAAGCTTCAGGCAGATCTTGACGTATCGCAGCCAAATGTCGTCTTGAATAAGGAATGCAGATTATGAGTCACAACTGAAGCAGGCTGCACGAACTGCATTAGGAATTCTCTCTCAGTCACAACTCCCGCCGTCTATCCATAGCCCACTTGGGAATGCCTAGTCTGATGTGCCAGGATGGGAGGCTTCTTGGACTTGCCTCGCATGCTTCTCGGTTCGGCTGCCCCAGGCGGGAAGAGCAAAGAAGGCAAGCAGCGGTTGCCTCCCTCTCCGGCTTACCCATAGGCTCCATAGTAGCTCCTTTTGGTGTTTTCCGACATCAATCAATATTTTTCCGTTAAGCGGATATTTTTTATTTGGCCGAGGAAATGACGCCGCGTCATTTCCGTCATTTCCGTCATTTCCGTCATTCTTGTCATTTTTGTCATCGGCGTAAGACGTGCCGATCACTGCGACTCGATGTATTTATATTTTTTACGGCGCCACGTCATTTCCGTCATTTCCGTCATTTCCGTCATTCTTGTCATTTTTTTCGTCGGCGTAAGACGTGCCGATTACTGCAACTCGATGTATTATGGCGCCACGTCATTTCTGTCATTTTTGTCATTTCTGTCATTCTTTCACTCTGTTCTAAGTTCGGAATTTCCGACCTTGCACGCCGACCTTCCAGAGCAAGTTCGGGATTTCCGACCTTGGTCCAGAGCAAACGGAGATGACGGAAATGGAATGACGGGGGTCAGCCGGGGTGACAGAAATGACAGAAATGACGGAAATGACGGACATGACAGAAATGACGGGAGCCAGTCGGGGTGACAGAATGACAGAAATGACGGAAATGACGGGGGCCGGTCGGGGGACGGCCCGTGTGCAATGGAATCACTTGTCTGGGTCGCGGAAAATCGCAAAGCTGGACGGACGTTCCTCGCGTGTTCACCTCGTTGCCGTCGACGTCAGTGAGCCGAAAATTTAGGGTCCGCAGCGTGATGGGCCCCCGCAGCTCACCAGATGGCCGTCGTCGGTTTGATCCTTCATAACGTGCCCCACTCCCTTGTCCACAATCAGTTGTGTGTTTTGGGCAGTAAGGTCCGTGAGCTTTGCAAGGCTTCCTCCATCGCAACTGCACTCTGCATGTGACTGTAAAGCAACACAACATGCAACCAGACTCGCTTCTTGAAGAGAACGCTGCAAACTGACCTGTGCAACTTCCTTCTCGAAACTTTCTTCTTCAACTGTTCTCTTTTTGTTTGCTTAACTCTGACCCAAAAATAGAGGTAGATCCAAGTGACCACCAAGCGGGGTCCCAAGTAGAAGTAGTACTGGGTGACACGTGCGCACGACGTAGCTCACGACGGGCTCAAGGCTTCTTCCTGCTTTCGCAAGGTACTCTTGAAACTCCAAAACCAACTCAAACACAAGGTTCTTGTAGTAGTTCACGTGGGGCACTTCCTCGTTCGTTAGGTTCTTGTTATACTCCGCGACATCACCTTCATGAAAACTGTAGTTGCAACTTTGTTCCTTTACTTCTGTTCTTGTAGAACTCGGAGTACACGTTCGTCTTCTTGAGGTAGCTCGTGACGTTGATCTCGTTCTCGTTCTCGGTTTGGTATTGGGCTCATGTAGATGCGACCACAACGTGAAAAGTTCTGTGTGATCACCTTCTTGGCTCTTCCCGGCAGGTACAACATCCGCTGGGGTAATCTCCTTTATCACATGCTTCTTCTTGGGGCTCTTGTTGTCGAGGCTGAGGACCTTGTTCCTGTAGTTCAGCATGCGGTTCGTGGCCAACGGGTAGCCGTAGGTCTCGTTCACTTCAAACACCATGAACCATGACATGCCCATGAGAACCACAACCATAAAGACTTTTATTTTAGCCAAAGGTACTTTCCTGCTGCTTCCAGAAAGGTTCTCTTGTACTCGAAGGTGCGTTGTTCCCGGGATCGGAGTCCGCCGGGACAGCAGTACTTGCATGGTAGTACTCGGTGTACGCTGGTTGCGTTCCTGAGGCCATGACATCTTCCTGAGGTGTGGGTTTTCTCTCCGTAAGGCGAGTACCAGAGTTCTGGCACTTCTTCCTCAGCTGGAGCTACGCGCTCCACCGTCTCCTTTCTCACAAGTTCTTTCACAAAGCTTCTCGCCAGACACATCAGCGAAAAGGCCAAAGCCAAGGAAACCATGGCGACAGCTACCTGTTGTTCCTGTGATAGCTTCATCGCTCCCAAGAGGTCTGAATCAGGGAGCTCCGCTACCATGTTGAAACTAAAGGCTTCTCAAGCCTTCCTTCCCACTCTACTTTCAAACACACTTTTCTCACTTCGCGGGCTGACTTGCTTAAGCCTCCGTGTCGCGGTTCACACACATGTTTCATGTGTTCTCGTGATTACTCTACACACTCTACTTGGGACTACGTGCACTAGGTTACAAACGAACAGTATTGGATCGACGTGGCCCTGGGCACTCTGAACACTGCCCAGCTGCCGGTGGGTGCTTACACGGGGGCAAGACTGGCTGCCTGGATCTCTTCCAACTTCGCCGTTGCCACCTACATGGAGGCCACCAACGCCATCGAGGTGGCTTACGATGGGAATCGCCGAATACTCTCGGACGCCGAGCTGCGGGACCTCTTCCCGACTGGCCCCGGGCACCCAACCCTTATAACGAAGTCTACCTTAGAAGATACAAGCACTTGCCCAAGCAATGAACAGTCAGCAAGCGCAGGCAGGTACCGCTTCACAACAACTACAAGAACTCGCGCAGTCAGTTTCACAACAGCAGAGAGCAATTACAGAAGCAACCCAAGCAACCAACACAGCACTGTCACAACAAGCAGAGCTTACTGCAAACGCGGTTGCAGCAACAGGAAAGCTTACAGCAGACGCAGTTACAGCACTGTCGCAGCACGCAGAGTCAAGAAGGCCAGGAGAGATCGACCTCCACAAGATGATCAAATCTCCAGAAGTCTTTGGCCCTACTACGTACAAGGAAGAGCGTGATGGTTTTCTAGAGTTTCGGTTGAAGCTGAGAAGTTGGATAGGCGCTCTCAACAACGACATCCTTGAGAAGATCAACGCAGTCGAGATGGATAGAAGAGAAGCATCATGGGAATGGAGTAAACTTAACCCAGGTGAACAAGCACTTTCAAGAAAGCTACATTCCATCCTCACCAGCTATACACGTGGCCGTCCTCTACGAACTCTAAAGCAAGTACCCAACGAGAACGGTTTCGAAGCATGGAGGTTGTTGGTGGAAGAACATCAGCCTCACAACCGTGCACGTTCTCTACAACTACTTAACGGAGTTCTTCACTACAGGTTCGACACGCAAAGGTCAACACAAGAACATATCCTGAAGTTTGAGGAGTTGATTGAAGAGTACGA